TAAAGCAGTCTGAGATGAAAGAGGAGAGAATGAAAGTGTCCTTTCACCAGAGGATAGAGACATGTATATAAAACTGTATTTTAAAAGTGAATTCAACAAAATGTCAGTATAAGCCTTTTAAATAATTTAGTGATAATACTCACCATTAATGTGACTGGTTTTCTGTTCCTCACTATTGCTAAAAATCCAGCAAAAATAGCGGATGGGACAAGCAATGTCATGGGATCATCTGCAGCCAGTGATGGCCAAGCGGGTGTGTTATAACTTATTAACATGTTGAGTCGCGTGTGTCTTACCCTCCATGGCAGAGGCTCCGTCAAACCCCTGAGACCGACTCACCGAACCCCTGGGGTTCGACGAGCCATAGGTTCCCGACCCCTGATTTAGAGTGTTCTATTAACCTGCCACACAGGTTTATGGAATGTGGGAGGAAACCGGAGTACCCGGAGAAAACCCACGCAGGCACGAGGAGAGGATGCAAACTCCACATAGGAAGGCCAGAGCCGGAATCGAACCCTGCACCTCTGCACTGTGAGGCTGACACCCTAATTAGTTGACTACCGGGCCGCCCCAGAATATAGCTTCCGCAACAATAAGTCAACAATGGGAGAGGATTTGAATGCATATCAGAAAAATGATCTGTTTTGTCTTTATATGCAGACACTTACCTACTGTGGGTTTTTATTTTTCTTTCGAGCCTTGTTTTTACACTTGCATGACAGGAATAGGCTAATTCAGGTTTTATGATGGTGACCCTGAATAAATCAAAGTTATTATTATTTCAGACATCATTATTTTCAACTGGACAAATATTTTCGAAACCATCCCAGATTGGATTATTGTAGTTCCTCAAAAGTTGCACTGACTAAACTTTTTTATACACATCCATCCATCCCTTTTATGGTCATGCAAACATGTAATTGGTCTGGCCTCCGTCTTTTACAGCCTTTCTGTTATTATTTGTTTCGCCATGCTGCAGCCTTAGCAGCTCAGCAGGCCTCAAAGTGGAGTACCATATTAGTCAGACCCCCTTCTGTGCATTAATGACCTGGAGAAAGTGAACATATTTTTCCTTTGGGGAAAGTGCTTTGCCTCTCGCACCATGTGTTCTTGAGGTCTAAATAGCACCCAGCCTAAATTAAAGCTTATTCATGACAGGTCATGAAGGACTTCTGAGGAAATGAATGAAAAGACCAAAATAGAGGAGCTATCAAAAAAGTTTTCATGTGAGGTGCAATGATGCTTTCATAGCCGAAATATAATAGAAGTTATTCCAGGGGAGGCTGAGATGCGTATAAAAGTCATCCACCACGACAGCCTTCAAAAGATTGTTGTGTGTGTCGAAACTCTTTTTTTTTTCCCCCTGAAATGTACACAGCGGGAAGCCGGAGCCCCTCATCAATATGCACAACATTAAATCCACTGAACGTCTCCGGAAAATGCATCTCCCTGAGTTTGGGTATCAGAACCGGAGCTGACATCAGTCCAAGAGGTTTAAGCTAGGAGTCACAAACTGTGGAACTTTCAAAGTCGAACAATCAAGCAGAAACTCACTGGATGTATCTGCCAGAAAATACCTCGAAATCGGTGAGATATCAGCTCAGTACGAATCGAAAGGAAGATGAAAATAAGTTGATAGAATGACATGAATGCTGCTGTCGAAGTGATTCGTCACCAAGTCTACGAGTTCGTGTTTTTTTTTTTTTTTTTGTGTGGACAGGAATGAGGTGAAACCATTGTGAGCCAACAAACATACAGCCTGGATGGCATATCTTTTGTGTCACAATACAGTACGTCAAGCTGATTAAAATAGCGCCTCAAATGCATTTCACCTTGGCATAATATGGCTCATCAATCATTTGACTGATTGTTCTCCAACCTTATGTATTTTTACTTATGGTTGTCACAGCCTCAAATTCAGTACAGTGGCCCTGTTTTTTTAAATATTTTTTATTTGACCTAAAAATGAAATATGAAAAAAAAATGTATGGAAAAATAAATAACAAAACAATTGGTGACAAATTTAAAATTTGAGATATTTAATTGATGATTGAAAATGAAAAAAAAAACCATACCCAGATTTGATCACAGAAGAGTACCAATTCAAAGTATGAACCGGCGTCACAGAAAATTCTAGTGTGGAGATCCCATTGTAAACCCGTCGAGAGCATTTTTAGACCACACTGAACCCCGTCTGCCACGGTTGACGTACTGAAACACCTTTCATGATTGGTTCAAGTTTAGGTTGTCCATAACAGTATCATAAAAGGGTCGGTAAGGAGGAGCTCAGCTCCCCCAGTTGGCGTCACTCCTTTCAAAATCTGCTGCACGCGGCTACTTAAAAGTCCAATGTGCTGATGGGGGCCATTAGATGCTCTTACATTATTGTTACTTCGGCATTTTCTCTTGTCTATTAGCTTTAAAAACCTCTCAGCGTACAATGTATTTTTATTGAAGTGTTCCACATCATTTTTTTGCTCCTTAAGAGGGCTTTCTGCTTGTCAGGAGTTGCATGTTTTTGTATCTGGTGACCAAGAAGGCCAGTAAAAAAAAAAAAAAAAAGATTCTCTGGCCAGATGGAGATTTTATGTGGCGCTCCACACACTTTGTCAGAATGACCACTCCCAGTTAATAAGATCTGAGGTGATCCCGCTGCAGTAAAACTTTGCAGCAGGACTTTTTAACAACCTACTGGAGAGGGCCTGTATGTAAACCTGCATATGGGTCAGACCTGTGAGTTGAGGTTGGGAAATAATTGATTTGTGACAGCTGAAAATGACATTTTTAGGGCTTTGAAAGAAGTACTTTGCGAAATAAAATTCACTGCTGAAATGCAAGCTCTTAAAAACATGGTTACATTTACTTTCGCGGTATGGACCATAATTAACAAATCAGTCAGAGCAAAATCAGTCCTCGAGAATGCTTTTTACACCCACCAACAACCTCACAAACTCATAGCTATTGCTAAACTCTTCCATCCGCATGTAATTCTTCAAGATCATGCAATATTGTGCAAAAAAAGTGCCTAATTTTTTCCACGTACCAGTAGAGGGCAGCAAGGCTCTACAAATGTGCCCTGGCTCTCCTGGGGAGCTTGAACGTGTATTTTCCTCTCTCTGCTCATACCAAGGCATTCATTTTTTTGGAGAGGGAGTGATTCTTCCAAACATCCGATGCCACTCTAATCACCGTGTCATTCTGTAGCTATTTGTCCTGCACTCGGCCTTTGGTCCATGCGCTGATGCCTTTCGCATGAAAGACGTCTTTTGTGATGCAGTATGAAAGTAGCACAAAGATAGGACCCATAGTATTGCGCGCACACTGCCGATCAAGGCTGATTCAGTTTGATTGGTTTGTCCTTTTTGCCCTGAGTTTGTACATTTGCTATAGCCTTGGAACATTCATTCATTCAAGGACTAATTAATACTGCCATTTTGTCCTCTCGTCTCGCTCTACCTTGGGGTTTGAAATAAAAAGAAATATGTGAGCAATGAACAGTGTTCGCCTGTGGAAGGACATGATCTGTTTCAAGACTGGTAGCTGAAATGAAAGCTGTTATTTCGCGTGTGACATTGATGCTTACATTGATAGCACTTTAAACAGATTTGTATTGTAATCAGCATGGTAAAAGTAGAGGTGACGTGTTTTGAACTTATCGCAACACTGATACGTTTCAAAGAGGTTCATCTCTATGTTGATGAGAGGAATACGGTCACATGAAATGCGTACTCACCCAAAATGAAAGTGGATTCAATTCGCCTCTTAAAGGCTACATGCAATTCATTTTACAGCACATATTTCTTCTTGCTTGTCTCTAACACAGAGATCCCACAAAATTGCAGAATTCATGTTGTAAACAAAGATCAGTTTTCCTTTTGCATAGGACTGAGAAAAGTAAGAATATTGCTGCAATATAACTTGGGAGCTTTGACACTATGACAGTATCACATAATTGGCTGATCGGCAGGTAGACGATGCAGTTGAATACTCTACAGACAGCAACATTTTTTTTTCAACTAATCTGTGTTAAACATCATGCCCCTGTTTAGAGCTGGGCAATATGACAATGTATATAGTGAAGAAAAGATTATATCCCGTCACTTCGTGTCTACCGTCGAGCCTATCCCAGCTGTCTTCGGGCAGTAGGCGAGGCCCACCCCTGAACTGGCTGCCAGCTAATTGCAAGTCACACACAGACAAATAACCATTTGTGCTCACAATCACACCTATGGACAATTTTGAGTGTTCCATTAGCCTGCCATGCATGCTTTGGAATGTGGGAGGAAACCGGAGTTCCCAGAGAAAACCCACGCAGGCACGGGGAGAACATGCAAACTCCACACAGGAAGGCCAGAGCCGGAATCGAACCTCTGCACTGTGAGGCAGACTTGCTAACCAATCGATCACCGTGGTATTACAAACATACGGTGCAAAATGAAATCACAATAAATGAAAATAAATACAGTTGGTAAATGCAAATATTGAATAGTACTACTTCTGCCACTTTCAAGAATAGGTTGTATTTTGTGTTTTTGGGATAGGTGGTTAAAGTAAAAGCTAGAATTTTACTCCACTGTATTTCATTAGGGCGCACAGTGGAGTAGTAGTTAGCACATTTGTCTACTCCGTTTTTAGTTGTGTACTGAAGACATTTGGGTTTCAGATCAAACGATGGCCATGAGACACAAGTTGAGAATTCCTGCTTTTATATCATGGTATTCACATCTCGATGTGTTGAATAGCTCAGAAGAGAGCACCTTTGGACAGATAGGCCCTATCTTACCTGTCATTAGAAAATGTATCTATGGATTAGATCAGACTGACTGCCAGTAATTGTTTCATTCTTTGCCTATATTGTGTTACAAGGATGAGCTAATAGATTGGGGAAGATTCTTTGTCAACGTACTCTTTTAAGATGACTCCCCTTAATGTGTTCATACGCTTTCATCTCCATTTTGTTCAAATGTCACTCACTGTCTTCCTGCTCATCTTTTGTCTAGGAGGACATGAATCTGAATGAAGAGCGAAAGGCGCCTCTACGCGGGAAGGACTTGAGCACCAAACGGGAGATGGTTGTTCAGTACATCTCAGCCACCGCCAAATCTGTAAGTCAATCAACTCAAGCTATGTTTTTATTTTTTTTTTCCTTGTCCGAAGTTAAACGTGCTTACCCAATAACAGGAGTCGGCGTGCTGAAGTGTGGTGATGATTCTCCTTGTGAATCTCCAGAATGAGTTCAGCCTTGATTCCTTTGCTTTTGCAGTATGGCTTGCTTGCACTTCTGTTGTCTCTTCACTTTCCACGCTTTACACCTTTAAATATTCTGATTGCCGTCTGATTTTCCCAACCCTCGCACCCACCGTAGTTTTGTTCCCATCATGCTGCAACCGCTATCACAGGGTAATAGTAGGCACTCGCTCGCTCACTCACTCAATGCTAGGTGGATGGTCAGTGCTTATCAAGCTGTTCGCTTGCATGCAAGATTTTTGGTTTTTGGGTTGTTGTGTGCTTGCATGGAAGTTTCTCGGTGACACTTTCACTTATCGTTTGGTAAAGGGGTGCAAATGGATGCGACAGCAATCTTGCAATTAAAAAAATACATTGTCAAAAACTGTGAACACAAGCTATTAGTGGGAATTTTATCTTGCATTTTAAACAAAACGGAACCCATGTGCTTTTCCACTTAATTGTACAGTGTATGTGTTTATTTCATACTTGGGCTGAATTTCGAGGATGTCAGTACTGTATCTCATTTTATGGTATGGTCATCGGCTCAGAACTACGAGACAGATGGGATGTTAAATGTCAGTTTGTCTCATTAATACTCGATTCAAAAATAATAATGCAATGATAATAATAATGATGATCCTGTATTTCATAATATTTGTTCTTTATTAATTGCTGTGGCCCAAGTAGTTGCCAGGTGCAGCCATTCAAGACCACTAAATGCCTTCCTTAAATAGATGGTTCATTCCCAACAGGAAATAAAAAAAATCAAGTACAACCACATTTGCCTCTGTTCATAGCAAGTTTATTGTAGTCAACGAAAATTAACCAAAAAACTAAATTAACAACAACACCAAAAATAAAATAAAATACATTCTCGTTAACAAAACAGAAATAAAATGAAAATGCCTAAAAAAAATCAAAAAAAAACTAACATAATTTCCAGACAACAAGTCACTGATTTTTTTCCCCCCACGCTTTGAAACCTGCGGTTTTTAAATTTGCTGCAGTTTTTTTTATGGATTGTTCTAAAATGGCTTCATGCCGCCAATACATTTCCTGATAATCTTGTCATGTCCGACCAAAAAAAATTCTCGAACACGTCACAGTAGACCGATGGAACTGAGTTGCGCTCATACTGAATCTTCATGTGTTATGGTTTACACTGAGCCTTGTATTCCGATGCGAATCAAACCGCATTACCAAATAGAATAAAATGCTATTTTTGTTCGACATGGGCATGTGATTGTCCCAAAATGTTGCGCGCATCCATGTTTTTGTTGACCTCATTTGTTTTTTACTGCATTTCTCCTTCAAAGTACGATTTATTTTGTTTTGAACTTTAATTTCACTTGTGGTAAATTATAAGATACTTCATGTTGAACATCTTTTTTTCAAGTTCACTTATCTGTAGTTGAATATATAAATGACCTTGGCAAGACTTGTTTTGCTTAATGCATTCCAAAAAAAACAATCTTGGTGGCTCGTCAACAATCATCTATGAAAGAGTGATTATTTTTATTCTCCCTTCGCAAGCTTCCCGAACCTGCAAAGCATCATCAGTTATTTGCCTCCTCATTGTCGTGGTAATTAAACGGCATTATTGATAATGATGATTTTTCTGAGATGATGGAATTCCTCACCGGGCCCATTATGCTTTGTGAGCAATGATATTTTATTCAAATGACTAACACAATGTGTGTAGTCAAAAGACAAGAGAACAAAACGTCATGTCTCTCAGCACCTCGCTGTTGCTTTCATTAAGATGTGACGGGGATGGTTGAACGTCAGTGTTGACATATTATTGAGTGCCACAGGCGGGTACCCTGCGGCAATAAAAAGTGGAGCCTTTCTTCAAGTGCTCTAAGTCTCTGTTCTCTTAAATGGGGGCGATGGGACAGCTTGAGATTTGGTAAAAAAAAAAAAAAAAAGAAAAAAAAACCCACAACTAAATAAATACTAAAATATTTTGAAAATCAACGTTTGCCGCAATTATTCAAATTGGCCTGATAAAAGTTTCTAAATTATGGATTTGGTCTGAATAAAATAGACATAGGTATCTTGCCACTTTAACAAAAAGCATTAAAAATACCTTTGATTGATATCGTGCCCTTCAGATTATGTCACTAAACACCTTTTACTTAAGGCCAAAAGTGCTAGCAAGATGGTGAATGAAATGTCACATGATCTATTGAAAATATTGTAATAACTCTGATGGCAAGAATGTTTAACATCCTGTGACAACAAATAAACTCCGTTAGGCAATTCGAGGCAAATATTGCTTGTGGAAATGTAGACCAAATGATTCATGCAGGAATGTTGGAGTGTTGGTTCGCTGTGGTGCTCTGTGTTTTTATTTGCCTCACGAGATTGCAGCTCGGGTTTGGGCCTTTCGATCTTTGCATTTTCCTCTCAGTTGTTGATGGCTTTTTCAAAGTCCAGATAGAATCTGCCTCTTTTTTTACTGCCGTAACTAAAAAGGCATATAATATTTGCCCAATGTCAATTTGCGTTTTTTTTTTTTTTTATTTTATTTATGTTGCCTCGACATTGATTTGGCTTTAAATAATCACCCAGAGTAAACAGAGTTAAAATGCATTGAGGGGGAGGTGTACGTCTGTCCACTGACAGAAAATGAATACAGATTTTTCTCAGCTGTACAAGTTTTGTGCACAGTACAAGCGTGTAAAATGACCTGAATAGCATAGTGTCCATGAACGTGGTCGGAAACGTGATCTAATGTGGAGAAAGGCAAATTCTTTTGTTCACCCAAGTAAAAATGTCTTTCCAAGTCAAGGCAATAGTTATTCCTTTCTCCTCCCTCTCATGAATGGCTACCTCTGTATCACCAGGCAAGATTGAGAAACACTCCGCACTTCTCCGCAGGAGTCTTGCAAATAACACCCACCAACCGAAAGGAATTGCTTTTTTTTCCATGGGAGAATTTGCACATGACCCATTTGAATATAAGCGGTGTTTCCACAGAAAAGATCCTCGCTCTGCTTTGCAGCAGCGTGTCCTACGGATGTCCTTGACCATCAGCTTTGCATGAACACCTTGTCCTTCACCTGCTTTCATTATTTCCTGCCTTTTTTATGTTCACCAACCCTATTTCAACCGCAGCGTTTCCTGTAACACCGTTAACTCCTTTCTCTGAGATTGTGTTTGTCTGCCAACTAATTTCATGTTTGATTCAAAATCTGCTCCTCCTCAAATGCTTGAGGTGTGTGCTGGGAGGGTCTTGCTGAGAGAAATGTCCAACATTCTTCTTGCAGTTGTTTTCAGATATCATTTTGTTCAACAGTCACATGCGGGGGCACCGATGAGGTTGAAGCTGTACAATTTGGAATTAAACCAGATTTTTTCTGAAAAAAACAACAACAATAAACAAAAAAAAAAACATGCCTATCAAGTCACACAAAACTTTTGGACAATTTGCAAAGAGAGTGCGTCTTATTAGATCAGTTCAGCGTACTTCAAATAATTCGGGCAGGTTACACGTTTTCTTGAACTTTCTGTTGAGGCCTTTGTGCCTCATGTCATATAAAGTCACTTAAGTCCAAATGTTGTTGTTCCAACAACTGTTAGGTGAGACCCCAGACTACATTATATGACCAAAGGTATTTGTTCACCTATCCAAAGGACCAGAATCAGGTGTCCTAATCACTGGGCCTGGCCACAGGTGTATGAAATCAAGCACCTAGGCAGACGGACTGTTTTGACAAACATTTGTGAAAGAATGGGTCGCTCTCAGGAGCTCAGTGAATTCCAGCGTGGAACTGTCATAGGATGCCACCTGTGCAACAAATTCAGTTGGGAAATTTCCTCGCTCCTATATATTCCACAGTCAACTGTCAGCTTTATTCTAAGATGGAAAAGTTTGGGAACAACAGCAATTTAGCCACAAGGTGGTAATGCCATGTAAACTGATGGAGAGGAGTCAGGGGATGCTGAGGCACATAGTGCCAAGAGGTCGCCGACTTTTTGCACAGTCAATTGCTACAAAGCTCCAAAGTTCATGTGGCCTTCAGATTAGCCCAAGTACAGAGAGCTTGGTGGAATGGATTTCCATGGCAGAGCAGCTGCATCCAAGCAATACATCACCAAGTGGAATGCAAAGCGCTGGATGCAGGGGTTGGAAGGAAAGCACACCGCCACTGGACTGTAGAGCAGTGGAGACGCCTTCTCTGGAATGATGAATCACGCTTTTCCATCTGGCAATCTGATGGACGAGTCCGAGTTTGGAGGTTGCATTGCATGGAGGTTGGACTGCATCATGCCAAGTGTGAAATTTGGTGGAGGAGGAATTACGGTGTGGGGTTGTTTCTCAGGAGTTGGGCGTGGCCCCTTAGTTCCAACGCAAGGATCTTGGAATGCTTCAGGATACCAAAACATTTTGGACAATTCCAGTCTCCCAACCTTGTGGGAACAGTTTGGAGCGGGCCTCTTCCAACTTGACTGTGCAACAGTGCACAAAGCAAGGTCCATTAAGACATGGATGACAGAGTCCGGTGTGGATGAACTTGACCGGCCTGCACAAAGTCCTGACTTGAACCCGATAGAACACCTTTGGGATGAATTAGAGCGGAGACTGAGAGCCAGGCCTTCATGACCAACATCAGTGTGTGACCTCACCCATGCGCTTTTGGAAGAATGGTCAAAACTTCCCATGAACACACTTCTCAACCTTGTAGACAGCCTTCCCAGGAGAGTTGAACCTGTAGTATCTGCAAAAGGCGGACCAATATCATATTGAACCCACTGGGTTCGGAATGGGATGGCACTGAAGAAGTCTCAATGTGAGTCAAGGCAGGTGAGCAAATACTTTTGGTAATGCAGTATAGTGTATCTCACAAAAGCTTAGTTCAGAAATCATTACAGGATTACTTGAATTTTCGGCAGATTTTGACTTTGATGTTGCCTACGGTCATTTGATATCAGAATTCAACCCCAAAGTTTCCCCAAAAATTAAACCTACATTTCTCATCATGTGTCTCTTAAAACCATAGTTCCGAGAGCGCATAATGAAATTAATTCTTCCCATTTAGTTTTTTCTTTTCCTTTCTGGCAATGCCATAACGGTCATACATTTCAAAATTAAACCAACATGCCTCTAAAGCCTCCGAAGGAGCTCAGGAAATTGTTACCAACATGTCAGATGAAATGCATGGCATTAATGTCTTCGAAATTCAAACTTTGAAAATCAAACTGCCGTCATTTGGGACAACGTGCAATCCATCAGATATTCATCAGCATTCCAGAATGTATTATTCAACCTTAGAAGTTCCTTTTTAATACCAATCCATCCATCCCTCCTAAAATACTATTCTGTGGTGCACATAATTACATACATGTTGGACTCTACTCTTCAAGCTCCTCCCTCACAGTTCTGTGTGCAATCTCAAGACAGTGTCTGATTATTAGAGGAGCTTCCTTCATACCATGCTCTGATTTTTTTTCTATATTTTGTGTGGCATCAACTGTGGAAAAGGTTGTAATCAACATACAGTATTGTTGAGTCAGCATAAATGATTCCGGGTATGTTAAGTTGCATGCTGGAGAGCGGTGGCTACAAGGACTGATTAAAAAGCACGGTGTCACACACCAGGTGGCGGCTCGCGTACAATTGACTTTGCGGCAGCTGCAAAGTCTTGCGAGGCAGCAGGAGTCTCATGAAAAGACATGGGAAATAAGATTAGGAGAGACACCAGTAAGAGAGAAATTAAAAGAGCAAGAGGACGGCGGTAAAAGGCAAAAGGCGCAGCGTGTTATTCGATGAGATGTAATCAATATGCATTTCCTCAGATGCAATAAAGGGAAGCTCTTCATTGGAATGTAGTTGTCTGGTGGAGAGACACCCTTAACGCTGTGAAAGCAGGGCCACTAAACATTATTATTGACAGATACATTATACACTCTATCTGCATGCTGTTCACATGAGAGATTCCTGATGAAAAATGATCACACCATATATCTCTGGGCCTGGCAGACGGACAGGCAGGCAGGAGTTAAACTCACTCCTATATTTTTGTTTGTCTGCCAAGTTTTGCCAGTTATGACGAAAAACCGATTTGCTGCCAAGCTCATTTTTCAAGTTTTTTTTTTTTTTTTCCTTTTTTCAGGTCCCACATCACACAGAAATCTTGAGACAAATACACCACACCAAACGGTTAAAGTAGGGAAGGAGAAGATACACATCTGGCTGGTGGCCATTACGTCACAACCCATGCTTGACACGGTCACAATCATTCTTAGATATTGCTGAAATGGTTACGCTTGTTTAATCAAGACCCAGCATGATATGTTGCTGTACCTCATTGACCTCGGGAAGAATAATGGTAGCTGCGGCACACCAAATGGGTGTGAATTGCACACCTTGATGTCAATGTAATATTAAAAATAATAATAATACATTTTATTTATAAGCACCTTTCAAAATAGTCATGGAAACGTGTTATGCTAAGTCGAGCAATGTAACAGAACATGTTGGAGATAAAATTTGCCCAACTTGAAACATAATTATGTTACTAGATCTTTTTTTTTTTTTGAGGGGGGGTGTCATGTGATCAGTGGCACAATACCCAAGTCACATGATTGGTGGCCACGTGATGACACTCATTTTGCTTTTGACTTGTAATGAATAATGAAAATAAAGGCCTAAATTGTTTTTTCAGAAAAGAAGAAACACTGAACCACATACTGATGATTATATTTATTCATCATTTAATTTCAGGCGTAGAATTGAATGATTTGCTCAACTCAGGATGTTACTGATTTTAGGAGAGGTGGTGGCCAGCATGCCGAGGAGATGAAGGCAAAAGTCTTTGGGGGCAAAACTCGGCCATTATTTTAAGAGTATGACAATAAATAAACACATTTAATGTTCGTCGTGGACCATGTTACCCAAGTCCTGACGATAACGTAGTGGCGTACATTTTGTATAGCTTACAAAAAATTCTGACGCTAACTTGTTGCCTGGTGATAGTTTCCTTCGAAGAGCGCCAATGCGCTAGTTTGATACCCGATGCCAAACATTAATGAAGCCTTATAGATGTGAGGCCAGCAGCACACTCCACCCTTCATTTTAGCTAATGCATCGCTACATTTGAGCAGATCAGCTGAAAAGATGACTTCATCATTTCCACAGTTGTTGCCATATAATGACTACCGGTATATACAACAGGGAGGAGAAGCTGGAATGGTTTGCATGACGCCTGTTTGATTAACCAAACCTGCCTTTTTGATTAACACCTGAAACATCTGGAAATTTAGAGCTCCAAAACAGACGTTTTCTTCTATATGTGCTTCTAAGAGCAAAAGAGTCCTCTTGTCAAATATTATATTCATAAGAATGTTAGCTGTGTCATGTTTGATGGACAATTTGTAATATCACACAAGTTAACGCTCATGCCTCAACGTGTAATTGTCTGGCCTACTTATGACTGTGCTGTTTGTGTCTTTTTGCACATTAACCTTCTCCGCTGATTGCTGCATGCAGATAACTGGGAGCAAAGTTGCGGTAAGTAGTCCAATATTTTTATTTGACTTCTGTATCTATTTCTGTCTTGACCAGATGCATATTGTGAAAATACTTAATGTCGACGTGTGGGACGATGGGGTTCGTCCTCTTGGCGGTCGAACATTCAAAAAATCTTGCATCCCTTTTAAAATTGATATTGGAAAAAAAAAATCAAATGCCCATCCCGATTGTATATACAGACAAACGTAGCGAGATTATTAACTGTTATCATTACTTTAGTAAAGGTATTTGTTGCTTTTTCATTTATCTGCATAGTACATATTGTCGTGGATGGTCTTTGTTTTTTGTGATCGATTGCATTGTTCTTTAATTCTCCACCTGAAATGTGACGACTTATTCATGGACTTTGGTGCCATTCTGGCATATGTTTTGTTAGCTTGAGAAAGGTTTTGTTTTTGTGCTTTCAGGAACAAAAAACGCAAACATCAATAACATGTCTAGTCGTGCATTTGTATGACATTTGATTGGCCTTTTTTTTAGTGGTGTGAAGCATTTTGATGCTTAACAGGACGACAGACAAGGTAACGCAGCGCACGGTGCCGCAGCCTTTGCTCTGTCCTTGTTCTCAGACAAAATGCCCCTTTTAAACCATTTCACATCGTCATTTTTTATTTTTTTTTTATTGATTGCAGTTTTTCCGTCCTTTGTCCAATTGTTCTTTTGTGTTTGTTTATTGCCTGTGGGGAGAGTGGGGTCTTAGCTTCGCTTGTATTGATGCGGGTAAACTTGCTCTCCTTTCAATGGCAATGGTGATACTGTATTGTGTTTAGTAAATGGAATAAGACATAATCGCCCCAGTCTACTTGTTGGAAATGCATGGGACTACTTTTAATGGTGCCTCAAAGAATGTCACATGAACACCTTATCAAGAACGTTCTTACTTATGTAAGGCAGTTAAGGTAGAAAGATGGACTTTATTTATCTGTTGAAAAAATTAAGTAATATATGTAAGCATGATCGGACATTTTATCAGATTTTTAAAAATTTATTATTATTATTATTATTTTTATAACCCACGTATAGCCACGACCAGGCAGGTCCAGCAAACATTCATGGTTGTGCATTTTTTTTCTTTTCAACAGTTTTCTTATTTTGGGTCAGGGGACACATTCTTCTCATGATGTTCCCATGACATTTTGATGGGAAACAATGCTTTTATCCATGATAAAACATACTCTGCTATTTATTATGAACAGCAAATTGAAATTTCATTTGAAAAACATCAAATGGGGCGGGCACAGTGGTTGACTGGTTCGCAGATCTCCTTCGCAGTTTGGATGTTCTCCCTATACCTGCGTGTTTTCTCCTGGTACTCCGGTTTCCTCTCACATTCCAAAAACCTGCATGGTAGGTTGATTGAACGCTCTAAAATTGTCTATAGGTGTGACTATGAATGGTTATTTGTCTTTGTGCGATTGTCTAGTAACCAGTTCAGGGTGAACCCCACCTACTGCTTGAAGACAGACAGCTGGTATAAACTCCAGCACGCCCGCGACCCTTGTGAGGAAAAGCAGTTAAGAAAATGGATGGATGGATGTAAAATCCCCGACAAGGGACAGGGTGATTAGAATTTGAAGATATTTTTGTTTACAAAACAAATAAGCATCACCCTCTCTTCATGGTCATATTTTGTACTAAATTTGATCTGAGTAGCCTTAAACAGGTCTTCAAATTGACTGAGTGAAACCAACAGGTACCACTGAGCACTGGACTTTCTTTAACCAAAACAGCAGTGTGGGACAAGGCTTAAGAGTCTCTCAGATGAATTCAAGTGTGAAGTCTTCCTGCGGGTTGTAAATGATCTCCCTGTGCAGTATTAACATGAGATTTTCATGTGGAGGCAGCGTCACTCGGTTAAATTAAAATTTGGGTTTGCAAAATTTGCATTCCGGTTGACTGACGTGCGACCACTCCAGATCCTAAATTCTATTCGGATCCAGGGGAACAATATGTCAATATCACAGCTGACGCATTTAGCAATAGATTGTGCAGGTGACACATGTTGAAGCCTCGCCAGATTGCTCTTGTTAAAACCGGGAGTTGTCATTATAAAATACAAGGGCAGGAGGAAGCAGGAGCAAAGAGCAGGAGGAAGCTTTGTTTAGCCTGGTTAGTTGGTGGTTGGTCACAGTTAACTCCCTGCTTTGCTGGCAGATTCCCATTTTCACGCTGTCAGCGTGTGTCATTGGGATGGAGCGCTCTCACTTATGCTGGGGGGAGAGAGCTGGCTCGGATTGTCTGTAGGGAACGTGCAAGTCTAACTCCTCTGTCTCAGGCATGAAATTTCTCTGACATTCCCTGCTCTCCCGCTATAGAATGAGCTAGGAATAGAGAACGGTGTAAATTGGATCTAATCCAGTTTGACCAGCGTGCAAATGTGCAACATTTCTAAGTCTCAAATACTCTTTCCACCTCAAGCTTGAGCGACGGATGTGCAGAATACAGAGAACCTACAATACCTGCTCATCTTTAAGAAACACGTCTGCAGGTGTTCGAACCGGGTGCCTTTGCTTCGGCACAGCAGCACAGTTACCTGCTGACCGTTTTGATGCTTTTATAGCATTAGCCCCCGGAATGATTGCCCTGATTTACGTCACAAGTCAAAGGCCAGCTAGGAGCAGTCCATCAGACTCCACTGGTGTTGCTGTGGAAGCACACTTCCCCCTCTGCGGACTCCCATTGACAAGCTGAGATGGCACGCTGCTGAGACTAGATGAGTGCTACACAATTCACATGAAGGATAAGAACATGGAGGCTTGCTGTCACGTGTGGTACAGAATTTGGACCCAGAAGCAGACAATCCACAGAAGTGAAAAAAAAAACATTTATTTACAAAAATACAAAGTAACAACAGAGAGCAGTACATGGAAAAAAATCTTGACGTTCTCACATGTCTCAGAGCAACTCGAGCTAAAATACAGAGAGACATCAGGCCATGCTCAATCTTACATGACACAATTAATTTGACCATAGAAACATCAAGGACCCAACCCAAAATGCAGTCATCACAGTCAGAATACAGTTTGGTGATAAGTAGCAACATCCAAAAACAGTGGAAAGACGCAACCTTTTGCCTGATGTACATCATATCATATGGCCGTAATTGAGTGAAATATAATTCCAACATGGTTATGGTTCGACATCTGGATCCTCTTTAACAGGGGTCCCCAACCTTTTTTGCCCCACGGACCGGTTTAAGTCAGACAATATTTTCAGGGACCGGCATTTAAGGTGTGGCGGATTAATACAACAAAATAATATGGTATGAGCTGCATGAAAACTGTGGTGTTTTCGAAATATAATAATAAACACAAGGAGCGTCTAATCTGGTCGCAACACTCTTATCGCTCTGGTAATGTTTAATGCCTTCAAAATACGATACAACGCAAAGTGCATGAAAATGACGACTCACCACAGCCCCGAGCTTGATTTTCTGCAATCAGACAGTCCCATCTCGGGGTAATAGGAGACAATGACACCTCAAGTGTGTGGTTTATGTCCAGTCTACTTCGTAATTTTGGTTTTAGTCGC